AGGGTATTGTGCCACAAAATGAATACTCAATCAGCAAATAAAGAGTTTAACGCAGCGGCTTAGATATGATGGCACAAGTTAATGTATTCCTGAGCTTGGGTTGCTTTTCCATATACTCTAATTTCTGTAGGACAAGAATATATATATGTTTTTATGTGATTACAGATTATCAAAGCAACCTCTCTTCTCTAGCCCTTGTATTTCTCAGTATTTTTAGTAAATGCCAAATTTTGGAATCTATTTTTTAAAAAACCAATAATAAAACAGCTATTTGTTGAGAGGAAGAAAAAGTGATTTATAATCAACAAAAGAAGTCAGAAAGCTGAATATTTAAGCCAGGTAAAGCCCTATAGAAGTGGCTGAAGTAGAATATTAGTAACAGAAAAAAAATATTGTTAACAAGAATATATTTTCAAAGTATTTTCTTCTGATGCTGTGTAAATATTCCAAATCCAAACCAGATGTAATTGATGCCAAATCAATTTCTGTACATCCTTTGCTTTCAGCAGCCTGGAAAGTGATGGGATTTCTGCTTAACAAAAATGAAAACTGGTCCAGAAAGCCCATTTCGTATGCCTTGAACTCCTGTAGTATAATTTCTGAGCTGTTTAGTGTCTCTGACTGATGATACAAGCATTATCTGAAAGAACATTAACAAAAAATGGTGTTAGTGCAAAAAATCTGTTACAAATTGTAGATTATTGATAAAGAGAATTTAGAGGAAGATCAAAGCTGTAGTGGACTGGCTGCAGAACACAAGCAGAATGTAGTATTAATACACTTTTTAGTAAATAAATTGGGATGTTTTCAAAATTATACAGCCTTGATAAATTGACATATTCAAACTGATTTACTATGGGCATTATTCTTTTGATTGTTTTACTTAATTCAGTTGAATTTTCTGTTGAATTCTATACAGAGTAACATAAAGGAAGTGCAGAGCTTAATACTAGAAATATTTATTAAAATCTATCCTGGGTAGTCAAACCAACGATGGAGGCTAATTTAGGAAAAAACCCCACTTTTTATACCTATCTATTTCACACACTCCAATTCCATATCCAGTCAACATTTTTCTGTTAAATTCTTCTTATTGACAAAAGCTGCATACTAAAAGCTTCAGTGTGTGAAACTATGTGATTTCATTTATACAAATAAATAAATATATATATAAAATCACCTGATAATTACAAATATTCCATTGCAAAAATTATCAGTTCAAGCAAGCACAATGAAAGAAGATAATTAGCATTCCAGACGAACTTCTAAATCACTGTAACTTTGCTCAGGTTTGCATTTCTTATTTTTGTATTTGTTTTGTTCAATTTGGTTGATATACTGGGATTTAAAATGCTGCCTTTTGAGTTGTAAAAACCTTATTTGTTTAGAGAAGAAACAGATAAATCTAAAAAATGTAGAATTAGCAGAATACCTGCACGTACATAGATTATCTGAGTCTACAGTTTCCCACAAAGAAACCATTCAGAGTGCTTGAAATTAAAAATATCAGAAGGGAATGTAGATGTGGAGACTGAACTGGAAAATGCTGCATGTATAAGGATTATTTAGAGTGCATGCAATCTTTTAAGTTGAGCATGGGAATGTTTTTCATCACATTAAATGAGGTAAAAGAGCTACTTTATGTGAAATAGCATGTGATTATCTCTAAGTATAAATTATAAGTATAAATTAACAAATTATAAGCATAAATTATCAAATACTGAGAAAAGGGAGAAAGTTTTTCTATTTATTAGACATTAAAATAATGATGAACAACTATAATATTAGAAGAAAACCAATCTACGTATGAAAGTTCTTTGGCCTTTGAGTAAATTTTGAATTTCTTATACCTACATACCACCTTTTTTCCCAAGGGTTTTTTGATCATAGTGGTTTCATTTTGGGAACTAAAATAAAATTGTGGTAGGAGTGTAGAATAGTCCATGCAGAAGCCTGGGTAAAGGGATGGGAGTGTGCTTGGCATAAAAGACACTTCAGAGACTTGTTGAAGTTGTCCAAATGACTTTATTGAGTTGTTTTGTATTCAAGCTGAGTATAATGCAGAGGACCAAACATTACTCTGCTTTACTGGAAGTAAAACTGCCCAAATAACAGCACAGAACATTTTGTAGTATGTAAATATATAGGAATATCTGCAGGTGTATATACAGGTACCACTTGCTGAGTTGACATCAATACGGAGAGAATTAACAAAATGTTAATATATTTTGTAGTATGTACATATATAGGAATATCTGCAGGTACCTCTACACTCCCTTTCCTCAAGCAGCAGGAGAATTACTGACACCTTTTTTTCCCCCGCTTGCTGAGTTGACACCAATACGGAGAGAATTAACAAAATGTTAATAACTGACTTTTTTTGGTGAGAAATATTTTAGGGCTGCCAAGTCCCGAGACATTTGTGCCTGGAGGGCTGGATGAGAAAGATTGTCAAGGAAACAAATAATAATGAGTTACAATAGAAAATGTTGCCTTTAGAAAATTAGGGAGATAGGAGCCAAAGGTTCTACCAGACTAATCTGTAATTAGCAGACTAATATGTAATTCTTTCACAACAGAACAAAACACTGGATACCCCAGGTTTTGATGTGGAGAGTTTATTTGTAACTGCTTGAATGAGTTGTCAAGGAATATTAAGACGATAGGTGGCAAAAAGACTTCTGACATCATGCAGAAAGGATTGAGTCCTCTGAAATGTGTTTCCACTCACTGCCTGGGCCATTTCTACACACCTTAAAGAGGCTTTTAAAGCGATAGTGTCATGTGTAAAAACTTTTTTGCTTGTCAATCCAAACTGGAATGGGATGTGATCTCATGGAAATTCAGTGAAGGCCATGTGAATTAATTCAATGGGAAAGGAACATACATTTTATGTACTTATTGATGGATATTTTCCCAAAGTCCATTATTTTCCCAGAGGTCACTCTTTATTCACATTAAACTCTATGATGTGATTACGTCATACATCAGCATTCAAGTGTTTAACAGAGCAAATATAATTTAAAATTGATATAAAGGAAACTTGGAAATACTTCCCTCTTTCTTTACCTGAACATTTCCCGCCTGGTAGCATGAGCTTATTTGATAAAGCAGTTCTGGAGGAGCAGGTTTTTTTGTTTGTTTTTAAACACTCATTTTAAAAGCTGTTGGTGGGCCATTAAACTAAAATAACATTTCCATCGAATGGAACCCACGTCTTCCAACTGGTGGCCAACATTGTGTCAGCAGCACGCAACGGAAATCCAGCTGCTATAAAAGATAAGCATCAAACCTTCATTTCCCCAAAGAACTGGTGTTTTAAAAATGAAAATACTGTCACTTTTCTGCTTCTATTAATTTTGCTTCTTAGTGCAGATTGTATAGTACCCCCCTAAAAGATTACCACTGGAAAGAAAGGATTAAAACAGAGCCTGGCCTAGAAGGATGTCTTCTGACTGAAACATACTACTCCTTTCTCAATCCATCTTTGAAAAATAACTAAATAGGGCCTTTTTTAGTGCAGATCAGATTTAGTCTGCAAATGTAAAGAACACGGGTTCAACATGGAATATAAGTAACTGGGAAGCCAATATATATATAAATTAGGAGGAAAATTATTAGAGGTACAGAGAAACATCTACATTGGATTTCTAGTCTTTAATTCAGTGATGTTGTCACCTTTTCTAGTATCAAATAACTCTGTTTTGGAAGGAATCAATATACATAATCACAAATGACGAGTGCAGCCTTTTTTGTCAATTAAGTGGTGATACGAGGTCAGTAAATTAAGGGTTTAATTAGTCAGCTGTCTAAGTGTATGAGCTGATGGTCTGAAAGCCCCAGGATTTGGAAGCTCACAGACCCACGTCTCATCTCTAGGATTTTGGTCATACGGAATTTCAGCTAAATAAACAGTCAATGGGAAAAGCTCTGGCCTTTTCATCTTCTGCTGTAGGACTCCAGGTCCTGATTTGTGCCAAAGAGAAAGGACATTCTGGAATACCAGAAAACTTGGTGCTGATTTATTCATCTCCTTCCTGTTGCTGCAGAGGAGGTGGGATTAGGTTCGATATCAAGGCCCTGCGAGCACCTGACGGCTTGTCACCCTCCGATTGTCACCTCCCCTTTTCTCCCCATCCCCTTCACTGTGGGGGATATTTAGGAAAAGGATATAACAAAGAAACCACCAGAAATTGAGACTGGAAGGCGGAGAGCGTGATCCCTCTAAGAACTGTTACATGGAAGAGTGGTTGTCCAAGTAGCCACCACTTGGTCACAGTGGCCACAACGTACTGGCACCCAGCTGGGGTATCACGCTAAATGAACGCTCATCTGTATTTGGGGTTGTTGAGGATAACATCCCTTTTCTCCCTTGTTTTATCCCAAATAACCACAGCTTCTCAGTTTTTTTTTCTCTTGAAACCTGGAGCTGAGACCCTTATGATGTTGACACCAACTTTTCTCCGCTCACGCTCCACCAGCCAAAAAGCTGCTTCACTTTTCCTTTTTAAAATAATTAATCTGGCTCCGAAATGGATTAGTATTGACATCTCTTCTTAACAATACGGCTAGAAGCTCAGAATGAACAGCTGTTTGGACAATCTTGGATGAAAGCTTTTCCCCAGGCAAATGCAGGAGATGCACGGGCCCGTGCGAGGGCACGTGGCCGCCGGTGCTGGTGGCCATCTGGCAGACTGGCTCCATGCCCACGCAGGGACTGGGACCACAGCGAGGGCTTTGAGGTGTCGGTGCTGCCTCCTCTGTGGCAGTACTGCCACCTGGGTGCCAAATGGCTTTCCACAAGAGCTTCCATTTTTAGGTAAAAAGTAAAATACTAACGTCTTTAAAAGGGAGGGAAAAAATGAGCACAATCCAATGGAAAACTTGTTTTACTTTCAAACAAATTTTGTGTGATGACTTTATATGTATGTGTGTGTGTATATAGATACATTTACACATATTTATATGTAAAAATCAATTTATTGTTTCCTGTTGTGACAGGTTGCTGCAGTTACTCGTTTCCACAAAGACTGAGAATTTGTCGTTAACCAGGTAAGTGATCTATAAATTTTACCTAAATATAGGGGAAGGGAGAGTTGTGAATATTTATCATTACATATTAGAATTATTTTACCTGGGACAAGATTGCTTACAGAAAAGAGATCACATTTACATATCTGAAGGGACTGATTCTTTCTACCCCAGGAAATTGTTTAAATAACACGGGTAACTAAATAAAGGGTGTTGGATTTCCAGCACTTCTGAGATGTTTGTCCCTTACCTAATATTCCGGATGGAGTCAACCACCAAAAGCCCAGCAGAAACCTGTTATAGGCAGTGGATGGAATTCAGAGTAATTCCTGCTGTAAGGCATAATCCTCCTCCGAGCCATTAAAATGACCCTAACTCTTGTATGTAGAATTATAGCTGCAGTGTTTCATGTCCTGCCAAAATTCAGCTTATAATTTACATCTATTTAATTATGTTTTCTTCAATAGAACTATTTATTCCTTTATTTTCTTGTGGTCTGGTTAATGAGGTGCTCAGTTTTATGCCTTGTCCAATGATATTATGTAAAAATATGGGTCAGTTTAAATTTTTTTTAATGATAAGACCTGAAGTATGAAAGTGTTTGTGTGTTTAGAGCACTGGGCTATTGGAAATCTCACTGATGAGATGAATAAGAAATATGAGATTCATAAGAAATAGTAAGAAATAACTTCAGAGTATTCTACCTTTTCCTCTTCAGTGGAATTTGAGTATTTTGCCTTTAAGTGAATAGAGATTTATTGTTATTAAAGGAATTGTGTTTAGTCATCATGTAATACAACAATAACAGTAGTAAAAATGCATTTTAAGTTTTTAAATAATAGAAATATTACAAGAAAATTCACCAGGGGGCAATGTTACACAAACTCTTCCAAGTTCTCTTTAGCCTGTGAGTAAAGTGTGGTTTAGGAAGATGTGTTGGCTTTAGGCTGCAGTGATGTGAGACCCTGCAGTGGTCGTGGTTTGCAAAGACTGGGGTTTAGGAAGATGTGTTGGCTTTAGGCTGCAGTGATGTGAGACCCTGCAGTGGTCGTGGTTTGCTCTGAAGAGGGAACTTCATGAGCATCAGAAATGTGTAGTTATAACACTCCCAACCCACCTCTGAACGGGACTTTGGTACGACGTGGAAGCCCCAAATCTGGGGATGGTTTAACTGGATGAAGAGCTTTCCAGAGCCCAAAGAAAAGGTTCTGGGATTGGTTTAGTTCTCTGTGTTACAATAGAGCCACCTCCCAAAATAAAGGCAATGGTGAAACACACCTGTACAGGCTTTTGGTCAAAAACTTTTAGCAACAATATCTCTGAATCTGCAGGTAAAAAACCCAATGGTGTTTAGTTGATATTTCAGTAAAGAAAAATGGTTCAAGTAGGCTCAAGTAGGAATTTTTTTACCCAGAACTGGTAAAAAAATTTGCTTTCCACCCCTGCTCCTTGACCTGTGGTTGTCATTTATTGGATCTGTGCAGTGGCATTTATGATGGTACGAAGAATAATCCTTAGGTTTTTTTCACTGAATTAATGGAAAGCTTTATTTAGAACTGTTGTACATCCTTAGTTTTATGAAACAGAAGAAACATTTCATGTCTGGCTTCATCCAAAATATTTAAAGGGCATCTTGTATTTTTAAAGTGGCTGCTGCTTTAACTTTTGCGTAGGAAGTAATGACATTCAGGATACCATACTAGACTTAAAAAAAAAAATTATTCCAAATCCAGCAGGGTTGGGGTATTTTATATTATTTTCAGCCCATTTTAAAGGAGCGAATGATTATATTTATCATATAAATAGGCCAGGCTGGATGGGGCTTCGGGCAACCTGCTCTAGTGGGAGGTGTCCCTGCCCAGGGCAGGGGGGTTGGAACTACATGATCTTTAAGGTCCCTTCCAACCCAAACCATTCTATGATTCTATGATTCTATGATATTTAGTCAGTTTCATTTCTAGGCAAAAATTAAATCCTTTTGGTTTTGTTCTTCAAAAGCCACAGAGCACTTGGCACAGTGGTCCTGGGAAATATAGATGGAATTGCATATATAATTAAACTGGTTTCTGAATGAACTGATTCTATTTCAACACCAAATCATATGAAAAAAACAGAATATTATGGATGTGGGCTAATTTGCATATTAATGTCAATCTTATCCATTTATTGTATTACTGGAGCTGACTTCAAGTAATATAAGCAACGTACTCTGTGCACAAAGCAGATGGAGGCAGTTTGTAGCCCAATGACCTAATACCTGTTTTTAGATACCTGTTTGTCAGGCATATAAAAAAAAATCAGATTGCTTTCATTTGTCTTGAAGGGGACTGAATTTCTGTGAATTTGCAGCAGAATTTATGTGTTTTGAACAGGGATTTGCTGACTACAAGGATAAATTCTCGTCTCTAGCCTGTGGTAAGCCTGCTTACAGGCTGAGTCAAGTAATCAAATTTAAATAATGGGTTAGTTAAATAAATAAAAACACTATTTAACTTAGAAAATATAATGTTTATTATCTACTTTTATGGATTTCCTACTTTTGGAATTAACCAGCAGCATTTTTCCCAGCCTCAGTAGCTGCCCAAACCAGGGTAAGAGAAATGATGTTGAATGGGCCGATGCCATAGTTAATTTTGGCAAAACAAAAAGGAAACTCTGGAAGAAATCCAAGCTGAAAGCCCTTCAAATAGATGTGGGAAACCCAACTTTTTGCACTCTCCAGACATGCCCCAATGGACAGTTTATGAAATATTGCTTTATTTGATGTATTTCAGGACTTTAGATGTCCTAAAGTAGTGTGACGGGAAATCTGTATTTACCAGTCTGTTGGCCACTGTTTCATACGGCTGCTCTAAATGGGTATTTCCCAGTGAGGTGAACTAGACAGAAATAGTTCAAAAGTTACTAATTATAGTTTCAAAATACCCTAAGAAATTACTCTGCTTTTGACAAATAACTCATGAAATCCACGTTGGTAGCTCTGCTACGCTTCTTGGCAGCCACGATGACCACTTTCACTTCTTTAAAATGTTGTTTCATCACATCTCTATGCCAGGAGCTCGGAAAAAGTTTAGGGTTTACCCAAAAGAAATTGAGGATCTTCAGATTTGTGATTTGATGTCAGGAGCAGACTACTTTTGGAATTATTTTTGATACCCCCTAGAACTGATAATTTGAAATAACTGTGTGCTGATGCTACATTTTCACCATCCACTACTACCTTTTTCTGTGACATTTGTAGCAGAACAGTTTATTGCATTGTTTTCATGTTTCTACAACATGCTTTTCTTGCAATAATGTGGAATTTTCAGCTTGTTCTGAAATTCTTCAATTCTTCCCATCATTTTCTTTCCCCAAGTTTCTCTTTCGTATCCTTACATCCATACTCCTCAGCATCACCTCTCTGGAATTAACTTCTACATACATCCCACTGGGAGTCTGGCTGCCTTAGAGACTATCTCTCTTTCTCCAGCATCTGGAATTAATGAGGATATTGTGTCTACTCAAAAACGAGACTTTTGGAAAGTAGGAACAGGGCATTCTCAGTGCACTTAATTTATATTCAATCTACATATGGTACATGGATGTTCTCTTTAGTTGTTTACACACACATAAAATGATCTGTTTGGAAAAAGACATTTGCCTTTGTCAAATAACAATCTCAGAAAATTCATAGAAAAGGAAAATAAATAAACTCCATTTTCAGTGACAGGAGCTCAACGGCTTTTATATAAGAAGTAGTTAATTTGGGGATGTATTTTTGGCCATAGTGAAAACCGAAGTCAAGAAGTGTCCAAAAATCAAACAGGTTTTCAACGAAATCCATCAATATTTTAAAAGAAATGCAGGTAAACACGAGACATAAATCTCAGTCAGATAAATTGTTGAAATGCCCTTGTTGCTTTTCCCAGGATGATTATTGAAGTAATTGTAGCTTAAAGAGTTTATATAAAAATTTAAAATAGCAAAATGTAGAAAAGTGCAATCCAGAAACAGATTATTCTACAGTATCTGCTGTGTTATTTTATCATAAATTCCACTTTTTTACAATATAGAAAACTAAAATGGAAAAGGATACATAAAGATATAATAATAATAAGCTTAGTTACAAGAAGCAATTATAAATGTAAGGGAAAATATAATAGGAAATACTGTTAAGCACAGAGGAAAAGACAGATTGCCTTTTCTTTTATTCATTCTTGAAGCCTGCAGGTGGTGTAAGTACCTTAAAAATGTTTTGCAGTTCCACAACAATGGTTATTTTCCTCTTTTCCACTAATATTTTATACAAATGTGTCATATGTTTGGTAGGATTATATTTTTCAATCTGGTAGAAATCTGGTTTTCCTTCTGGGTATGTGAATGACGAGTTCACTTCGGGTTGTTCAGAGAGTCCCATGATAATGCAGGTTCTTGGACTGTATCATCTACAAATAATTGAAATGAATTTTATTCATTTACTTATAGGTTATTTGTGGTAAGAGAGTGGATGGGTTATTAGGATATGATAATGGATACTTTCAGACTATGAAAAGAAAATCACTCACCCCATCTCATTGGGTTGGGTATTTACAAAGTGTGCGTACGCTTGAGCTTTCATGCTGGTTTTTGGGTACAAAAAATACAGGTTCCAAATTATTTTGACTCATTAAATATATTATCAAGAAAAAAATATATGTACAGAAAATGATATGTTTATGGTTTGGAATTTCTTATACATGTTGATTTTCTTGCATGTTGTCTACGGGCAGCTAGGGCTCTTGCATCACTTGGTTAGCTGCTTTCAGCACTAGGTTTGCAATTTTCTAGTGAAATGATGACCTGTAGTCATGATAGATTCAATTCCAGGACTGATTTAACCATTTACTCTCCCAAAAAATGGTATTTGTAGGCTGTGGGCAGTGTGGGGGGATGAGGCAGGGCTACTAAAGGCTGAGAGCTCCCTCAGGGTCCTGAGCTTTCTTCAGATACTGACTTTATACCTTTGCTTGTTGGGCATTACGTGGTGATAATTCACACTT